GCCATATTAATGACAATTTAACTAAAATTTAATGACTTTAATATATTTGTTAAACATTTCAGTTTAATAATAATGTCCGTTCACATCCATATATATATATATATATATATATATATATATATATATATATATATATCAAGAGAGAGAGAGAGTCATAAATGCATGATATAATAAATTTAACACCTAAATCAGTGCCCATTTAATTACTTGTCAATAGCTAAAAGGACTGAAGTGAAAGACTAACAAGCACAACGCCTGGTATAATAGGGGTAAAATGAAAATTCATTGTTTTCTCCTTATATGATTTCCCCGGGAATTTCTAGTAGCAGAAGCAATAATATTATTGTATGTGGGTGTTTTGTATTAGTAGAGAGGGTCAAAGCTATAGATAATAACTTTCGGACAGACATAATATGTATTTATATACGTATATAGTCACAGAAATAAACTGATGGTTGGTGTAGAAAGCAGACAACTAAACACTTTTCTTTATATATTTGTCTATTGAATTGATGCAACCATTAAACGAGCCTTGGTGACTGACTACCAGTTTTTAAAACAAATTATACATACACAATATATTTTTCATGTCATTTGTATTCATTTTAAACAATTCATTGTTATTAGTTGGTTGTCACCGTTTCTTTTACCTTCTAGAAATAAACAAACAAACAAATGAACAGAATATGTATATTTGTGTGTGTGTGTCATTGTTCAATTATTTTCTTATTGGTTAAATAATCACAATCCCTTGAGACAACTGTCTCGAAATAATGAAATATATATATATTTATAGCATGATTATTTAAAAGTGAACGAATGATTAGTTAAAACAACGCAGCAATAACAATAAAATTAAATAATTTTTTGTTTGAATGAATAAAGTTATAATTTGAAAAGTGATTTAATCAGGTTGAAATTAAGTAGTTCAGCACTTGTTGTTTCTCATCACAATTAACATATCCAGATTGTAACGAGTTAGCCAGATGAACAAGAGAAATAATAATGAACACGATTTGGGTGAACTCTATTGGAGTTGTTGTGTTCAACAAGTTAAATAGTTCAACTGTGGACTTTTTTGTGGTTCTGAAAAACACTACTAGTGATTTCAAGTTATTTTGATGAATTTCTTTGTGATTAGTAGTCTTTGTGAGTTTTTTTTGTTCTCATCTTTTTGCATTCATTTCGACTCCCTTTTTTCAGTGGTTGATTGACCTCTTCCATTTAGATCGATAAAATGGATATATATTGATGTATTTATGTATTCGTAACTTATGTGAACGTCAGAACTTCAATAATTCGTTATGTTCCAGCGATTCCGAATTTCAACGCTTCTGCAATGGAATTTATGTTCTCGCTTGTCCACGTGAATTAGCATCACTGATAGTTTACTGCATCGCTTCACTACTAATCTATACTCATATATCCGTAGTATGAGAGATATCCACTTTGTTCAATGTAATATTTCTCACATTCATCAAAGTTTATTTTGTAGATGGTGTTGTATCTGTCTTTACTTACTGTTATTGTTTTTCGGTTTACTGATGTTGTTCATACCGATAAACAACAGATCCGTGATTCAACCATTCAGGAAGAGTACTTGAAATAACAATAACACCGAATTATTAACAACAAAGAACACTACAGTTCTATTTCCGAAGCTATCACAATGCCGAACGTATTTATAATAAGCATAAATTCCAGTTCTAATGAAAAAAACAATTTCCATTAAGTTGACATATCCCCTGTTGTTTGAAGATTTGTTTAGTTCAGATTGACTTGTACATAATTAAATAGTTTAATTGAAATGATCACATGGTATTCATACTGGCGATTTACATAGTGTTTTGAACTCCGCGCATTACCTGTTGAGAGTATTCATAAGTTGAACCATTTATCTGTCACCTTGATCATGTTCGAAAAGTAGTTTTTCAACGGACTAATTGTTTGTGCCTATTCGACAATACTGTATCATGTTCGTTTTTGATGATGAGCTGAATAAGAAACTGAGACTAACAAGACATCTCTGACAAAACATAAGTTTATAACAGAACTGAAAGTCAAATCATCCACAGCTATGAAAATGCCTTCATTCCACTGACTTCAGTTCACGCGAGATATAGCCAACGAGATGGTGATACAGTGTCTAAGAGAATCCACAGTTCAAACATTTGTATCAGCCAAATGATGTCCTTCTTTCTTCAGTCTTCCGGCAGCGAAGTTATGGAGTAAAGATAAAATGCCCAATTACATAGTATCTATGTGATTTTACGGGTCATACTTTTCTTGTAGAACTATAAAAATCCCAGCCTTGTTGATTTTAGTTGGCAACATGAACTAAAAATTATGAATTTAGCTTTTGAAGTTATTTTAAGAAATCCATCGAATTTGCTGCATACTGACAAACTTCATCTTTTAAATACATCATATGCCATAATTATACGCATCAATTCCTTGTTTATAGAAAATGTTCGTTCAGCCTTCTAAATCACTGTGACCTTCTTCTCTTTGGTCACTCACTATATTTCTCAACATTTTCATTTGTTTTCAATTTAAAAGATTTTGAAATTCTATTAATTCACTCACAGGTTCTGTCTATTTTATTAAAATGATGTTCTAACATTTTTTCCCCAGATATTATTATTAATTATACACAATTGGTTTTACAAATAACAATCTTAATATTTATATTAAACCGCCTAATCGCAAACTCATTCATTTCTCATTAATACAATATTGGATTCTGATATTTGACTGACTGCATATTCTTATATTTAGGCTCGTTTTAAAACTTGCTGAACTTCTAACTGGTAAGATTTTTTAAAGGCATCATCACTAAATTGATCAATCATCGAATATATCTACGCCATAAACTATGTGATTAAAGGTCTTGATGGTATTTACTATCGGTAATTTATGATGATTTTTAGAATTTACCAAACAATATTACAAACTGAACAAACAAATATCCAGCGCATCCGGTTTTTAAATGGTCATCTAATTCAAAACAATCGGTAATGTTAACTATGCAACTGAATATAAAACAAGCCAATGCACCTCATGCATAATTTACAAAGAAGAGTGAAAGAACAGCTCAAAATAATTAACATTTCACTTTTCATTATCCAACATTAAAGATTTTATGAAACTAACATTCTGTTTGTGGTGAATTTTTGTATCAATAAATTTGCATGTTATATGATGCCTGTGATGTTATGGCTAGTTGTTTCCGAAATGAAAAGTCACATTGACGGAGTAATATGCCGAAGTCTATAAACATAATATTGAGATTTAAACAAAATCCTATTTCTAATTAATTTCTAATAATTAAGTGAGAACAAACAATGCTGACTAAAGTATTCACTTATTTTCTAATGTTTTCTAATTTGAAGTTTAAATATGTTACATCGAATTGTCATAATAGTAGTGGTTGTTGTTGATGTTGCATTGATTCCATGCAATTTATGTAATCGTGTGGTAAAATTAATTCTGTAATTCAACCAGTCTAATTAAAGTTTGAATTATTTTCCTTCAAATTCTTGTAGGTTTTTTAATTGAACCAGTTAAGTTCATCATTTGATTTGCTTAACAGATTTATAAAAAAAAAGTACAAAACAAAGAAATTTGTACATTAAGGATTTAAAAATATAGGAGAATAGAATTTATCATCTAGACATTTTAAAAAGTTGTTGAACTGTTTGGATATTCATCCAATATCCTAAGAGAATTATCGGTTAATTCATATTGGTTAACTTCAACTGGTCAATTTTATGGTCGTCCTAGATATTAATGTCACGTGCTCCAATTTTGTTTCTTATTGGTCGTCCTGATTATGAATATCACCTTTTATTCCTATTGGTCGCCTTAACTGTCACAAACTTCGATGCTGTTTCCTATTCGACCCAAATGTATAAATATGCATTGTCTATAACGTTTTATGTCCAGGACCAGGACTCGGTCCCGGATCCCTGGTCTGGAATCCTGATTCTCTTCTGAACTCGGATCTCGTACTTTCTGAATGCTTGTAGAATACAGGTTCTACTTCATATCAAGTCTTCTTCTTTTATTCAATGGGGGGTTAGGACACTAGGATTAGAGTAGCATGTCGTGTCACCGGATCCTCGATCCTGGCTCTCATTTTCCGACTACGGTAGCTCGTAGTAGTTCAAGCATATCAAATGATGTGTTTACGTGCATGCGTAACATGAACATAGATCAACAACAAGAAATTAATTCAAGATAATGAAGAATGAATATTTCTAAAATGGTAGATTATGTAATAATTGGTGATGACTCAGAATTTGTTAAAAAAAATTTTATTTCATCGTATGGTAGACAGCTAACTTAATACTGTGAATATGATGATATTCAATAATGTCGGCTAATCGACGATATTGATAAGATTGATGACTTTATATTTATCATGTAATCATCTATCTGACTGTAAATGAGTTAAATCTAGAAATTTTTCAATGACTATTTACATTCAAATGCTATATAATATGCAGAAAGTAATTTATTATAAGTGGTTGTGAATTATTTGAAAAAAAAAGATTTCCATTCACATACAACAGAGTAAGAATAATCATGCTAGTTGAGTTACTAATGAAAAGCTCAAGTTTACAACAATTGAGGATGTTTTTAAAAAAATGACGCAGATAAAAGTGAGTTAGAAATTGAATCTTATAAAACTTGACTCTGATAATCTTCTTCAATATTCTACAATATGAAATGAAGTTAAGAACGAATTGATGTTTTGATAAGGTAAAACACTGCATGAAATATTTCGATGGCATACTGCATACTGAAAATGCAAAGCATTGATTCAGGTCTTTTTTTAATAATGATCCCAAATTAAATATATCAATATAGTTGTTCTCATCTACACCTATTGCCATTCATTCACACTATGTGGTTCTTTTGAAGCTAAATTTATAATAAGTGAAACTGATTACTAAGGTTTACAAAATTGTTACCCAGACTTAAATGATTTAAATAAATTAGAATGAATTTATTTGTGAAGATGTTGTAGATGAGATAATCGGTTCATTATGATGACCCAGTATTGATAACGATGTACTACGCACGAATGGAAATGTTGAGAATAAGTTAGGACAGTTTTGTTTTGTTTGAAAAGACGGATCTTCAAACACTAAATGGCTTTCATCACTACTGGCTGATGAAGTTGAAAGATTCAGAGGATGAGAAATCTCTGTCCATTTGGTGATGTCAACATTTTTGTTACTAGTAGTATTACCGGAAAGTTGAGCGTTATTCAGAAATTTTAGATTAGAATCTCCATGAGTTGCAACTTCATTTTCATGTCTCTTTGATATGATTTGTTTGTTCATGGTTTTTGGCGAGCATTTGCTATAGTTTTTAATTGGTTGATCATTCATATTTTCTTGTCCCATTATACTTTGTTTGAATTTATTTGTGTTATTGGTTACTGCAGTAGACGACTCCTTATCCCATGATTTCTTCACCAAACTTTCTGGTTTGAGGTCATTGTGACTGGTTTTATCGGATAATCCAGCTGTTACTGTTGCTGGATTAAATGATGTTCTTATTCGTTTAGAAATTTCACCAGAAACGTTTTTGTTTTGTGGGAATTTTGAGTGAAACTTTGTAACTCCTGCAATAGATGATTCATCTCCGTAACGTGTTGCACAATATAACTGCGTCACTCTGAGAAGGGTTTCTCTTAAATAGGGATCTTTACCTACAAAACACAAACATAAATTCTCTAAATGTTCTATAGTAAAACATTTAATCTTAAATAAAACTTGATAATTTGGCAGCAAAAAGTGATTGATGAAATGAATATGACTAGTCATTTAGTTATTACTTTAAAGTATCACTTAGAGTGTAGAGTTTTAGTTTTACAGTATCTTGACCACTAAATTTGTATGAAAACAATTAGCATTGATCTGAACACATTCCTTAGGATATCAAGTTTTAAAAAATGCAACTAATTTTGTGAATAGTAAATATCATTTAAGAATGGTGTGTTTAATAAATTTACTTGTTTGATAGATATAAGCACCATAGTTTTGGCTGAAAGTATTCAAAATTGATGATGTGTTAGTTGTCAGTGTAAGGAAATTACGATTGATGATTTCAAATAATTAGACGCTTTGTAACTAATCGAAATAAATGCTTATGCATCAGAAGTGTTTAGACAATTGAATTTACACTACATCGATCAATGTGATCTTACGATCTTAACTAAAAGTCAACAAGCTTTCACTGGTAATGAATTATGGTACAACAGATAGACGATTATTTGAATTCCCATGTGTTGTATTATTCTCATCTCAATTGGTTGGGTTGAAGTTAACTGATAAAGAGATCTTTTTGTAATTTTAACCAGGTCATTTAAATAATTAGAAATTTACAGTAAATTTCACGGTGGATAATGTATTACATGTTTGTACTGGAAAGGTGAAAATTTTTTACAAGAAGTATTGTCATGTTTATGTGAATTTCAATCTTATATAGAGTAACAAAACACTACCATTTCAAGCCCTTGCATAAAACCAACTTGAAGCTACCATTCAAATAACAGAACATAAATCGTTTATTCTATGACATAGATCACCATTATATTAGTATGAAACACATAAGATCCCTTTGAATTAGAAATAAGACATCTGTCTTTAGAAAATGAAAATTATGTTTTAAAGCAGAGTTTTTTAACTTGTAATTGGAATTATACTTATTGATAATAACGGTTAAGCAGTAGCAGTAAAATGTGAAAGTCCTGGTTCCGAAACCTGATGAGGTCATGAGAGCGTGCTGCTAAGGAGTTTCGTACTAGGATGAAACAGACCTACAGTGGTGTCAGAGCTGAGACGAGACTAAGATGAATATAGCTTATAAATACTGACGTACTGTTAGTTGAAACAAGCATGAAAAAAAACTAACATATCGTTCTCTCAGAATTATGTCATAAACAAAAATAAAATTCAAATAATCTACAGCTCAGTGTACATGTGTATTAGCGGCATAGATTATGGAGAAAAGAAAGTGAAATCATAGAATCTATTTACGAAATAAAGTACACTGAAAATGAAATGATAATTTATTTCATAAATTATCAAATCACATATGTAATGGAACTTGAATTCATGAATCTACCTAGTTCAATTAAAAATAGACAAGATTTAATTCTAGTAATTTATTCCAAACCAATGACCATTGATGGGTGCTTGCTCACAAGTGTCTAAACATAAATATCTATTCAATGACACATATATTCATATCCTTATCATATGGTTCATGACCGTTTTTCTTTTCATTTCCCCAGCCACTTAACACAAACAGACAGATGGTTTATCAGTTCACTGTGATAATTGCGACATAATTTTCACATTTATTAAACATTTTGTTTATTCAATTTACCAGATTTAAACCCATTTTTCTAGATCGCCTAGTGGTTATAAACTTGTGTTTAAATTAAGCGAGACTGTATTAATATGAAGCCAATAGTAATCGATTACCTTTCTGGAGAAAAATTTGATCTTGTGATTTATCGATTACTATTTTTACGATTTAGTTGAATAGTAAATGTTCAGGTGCGGTCATATATACCGTAAGCAAAATTTCATTTTTAATGGATCTATTCAAATATAATACTATTTCACTTGAAAAATACCACCTCCATCATTTGGATATTTTTTGACAAGACAAATAAATAAATTAATTAATTTTCACAACACATATTCATTGTTTATAGGGATTTTCATTGTGCCTAGCGATGTTATCCAAGATACGTTGTTCTTTCCAGTTCGACCCTAGTCAGCTGGTGATTTCTATACTGAAATTTGAGACCAGCATGTATTTTTCTGGTGGTCAAAGAGCTGCCCACTAAACTTCTCAATCCATATAGTTCATAACTTCTTACACAGCTCCGAAGTTGATATACCTTGCTTCACATCATCACATGATTGAACTTTGACCCATGTTTTTCAATATATTTTAAGCAAAACGCCTAATTTAACTACAAAGTTTACCAATAAAGTTACGTGAAAAAAACAACTAAAATTTACTGATAAATGAAGATGAAATAAATTCTCTATTATGATTTTAAATTGAAAATATTCTGAGTGATTGTAGCTATTAAGAAAATTAGTGTATTCCACTGTGGCTTTCAAGATTATCATAAGTAGTATAACTCATCTAGTCACAACATTGATTGGATTAACTAGTTAACTTTCGATATGCGGTGATTTAAATCCATATTTTTCATAGATTAATATGATTGTCAGTTGCACTTCTTATGATTAGTTTTTACAATGATAACTTGTTGTATTCATACGATTGTTGCTCACCTCCAAATAACCATTTCTAGTCAGTTGTAATTATAACTGATGTAAAACAAATGTAAGATCTTAATTCAATTTATTTCTAGTTTGAATTGAGAAAGGAATAAAATACCGACATTTTTCACGTTTTGTCTCATCAGATAACATAAATAATACATACTTAATTGTTTGTAAGCTACTCATCCACAAATCTGTGATAATGTAGATTCATGAATGTATTGTGTACACTTGTATGGAATCGAATATAGAAAATATATAGACGAGTAGTAAATCAGTGTATCAAAAAATTTATCGTGATTCCAGCTGGAAATTGACGAAAAGCTTGACTCATTAAATTCTATCTCGTCTAGTTTAGTTTCTAAAATTAGTTCTATAAGGCTTTTCGCGGTAAAAAATTACAAAGTTTCTACCAGACTGTCATGAATAATCTGGCATTATAAGTGAGCTGTGTAGCTAAATGATTTATGCGAACAAATCTCAAATCAAATAAACTTCATCTAGTGCTCAACAGATTTTTAGTGATCAGTAATACAAATACAGTGAGAATAAGTTGTTCTAGCCCCATTAAAGTACATAATAAACGTGTGTTAACAGACAAGTAATATAGAAATTAAAATATATAATTCATATTAATTTGAACATAATATGTTTCCTTTCCTTTTTTCAACAAATTAAACTCTTAATAAAAACGGAC